TGGACGTTGTCTATTTTCGTTTTGATAGAATCCTCTATCACTGCTGTATGTTTATTCAGCTATTCCATTCCTGGGCAATCTTCAAGGTCACAGTGCCTTAGTCTGCATTGTGACAGTCTTTGTATCCAGTACGTTGTAACTGTTTGATGGAGAAGTCCCTGGAGATCCATCAACCTATCCCAAGTTGTACATATCTTACCCAGCACTGCCATGCTCCGCTTCCCATGACTGTGATCTCCTCTCAAGTGTGATTATGTTCCAGATAAAACAGTTCAGAAGTTTGTCTCTCCACCCTACATTATCATATAATCCCTACAGTTTGGAAGCAGGCCGTTCGGCCCATTGAGTTCTCACCGACCCTCCGAAGAATGTCCCACCTGGACTCAACCCCCACCCTGTCCCTGTAACCCTGCATTTCCTATTGCTAATTTGGCTAGCCTGTGCATCCCTGGATACTATGGGACAATTTTAACACTGCCAATTCACCCAACTACATTTTTGGACTATGGGAGGAAACTGGAGCATCCGGAGGAAACCCGCACGGACAGTCCCCCAAGGCTGGAAACGAACCCAGGGCCCTAGTGCTATGAGGCACCTAACCACTGAGCCACTGTGCTACCTGTAAAGCTTTAGGATGTTCCTACCTTTGAGTCAGTGTGACAAAAGGTAGATATTTCCTATTAATATGGAGTCTGAGATATCTGCTGTCTGCAACTTCCCATAGATGACAGTCAGACCATTTCTTAGTTTTAAAGAATACCAGTTAATCATTTCTAATTTCCTGTTACCCCATGCCCTGATTTTTAATGATAGTTGCTGAATGTAATGAGGAGTTGTACAGAGTCAGATTAATTGTCAGGGATTTTTGTTCATTTGTTGCTCATTCTTTCAGCCATTCTTTGTTTTGTTCTTTCTCTCTTTCTCTCTCTCTCTTCTCACCCCAGTGATTTCCCCTAACATCAAACAGAAAAACACTGTATCTGTTCATGGAACAGTTTGTTTCTCACTTTCTATCTGTTTGTGGCTAGATTGGGGCGAAATAAGCTAGGAGATCCAGGAGTTAAATTGCTTGCTGCAGCTCTGATGAACCAAGACTGCAAAATACAGAAACTGGAGTAAGTATCGCGCTGAGAGTTTGTTTTTCTTCTGCTACATTTCGTACATGTAAGAAATTATACATAACATGGTTTGCTCTGATTTCTCCTGTTCCCTTCTTGATCCCCAGGCTGAAGAGTAACGCTCTCACAGATTCTTGTGCTGAGGATCTTGCCTCTGCTCTTGGTACAAATCAGACGTTGGCGATTTTGTCCCTGAGCAACAACAAACTGGGTGATTCAGGAGTCAAACTGCTGTCAGTGGCTTTGAAGAACCCGGACTGTAAAATACAGACGTTAGTGTAAGGTCAAATTGTGGTACTCTGATTTAATTGGCAGCTGGTTATTACCGATTATAGTGTCATTAATAAACAACGAAGTTCATGCCTTTTCCTTTATTTTTCTCTCTTTGATCCTCAGGCTGAAGAATAACTCGCTGACAAATTCTTGTACTGAAGATCTAGCCTCCACTCTCAGCACAAACCGGTCATTAACGGACCTGATCCTGGGTGGGAATAAGCTAGGTGATTCAGGAGTGAAACTATTGTCTGCAGCTCTGAGGAGCCCAGACTGCAAAATTCAGAAGCTGCTGTACGTACCAGGTTGTGAGAGATTGCATGTGTAGTAACTGGATGTCAGATAGTTTTAATTATCGCCAACGATTGGGAATAGTGTACCCGCAAACACCGAATATTTACATTAACCTCAGTTGCTTCTCTTGTCTTGTTCCCAGGTTATGGGATGTTGGAATCACTGATTCTTGTACCGAAGATCTAATATCTGCTCTCAGCGCGAACCGGATTCTGACGGACCTGAACCTGGGATCAAATGCCTTCACAGATCGATCGGTCCCTGCTTTCTCCCAACTCATACAGACCTGCAGGAGTCTGAAGTGGATCTGGTGAGTGCTCATTTTAATATTCGAGGTTATAAGTAAACAATAACTTAGGTTTGTAATCTCGAGGGGTAGTACCTGTCTGAACTGTATTGAAATATTAAGCCCCGGCTGCCTGTTGTTCTGTTGAGTCAGTTTACTTTCTGTTTCATTGTTAATTTGTTTCAGGCTGGGGCGAAACCGGTTCAGTCCGAGCAAAAAGAGACACCTCAAGTTGCTGCAGAACTCCAGACCAGGGCTGAGCGTCGAAGTCTGAACGTTTTAGTTTGTAGTTGTTACTGGTCTTGTTGTGTGAACAGTTTTGGCCGATCTTCTGTCCCTCCCCTTTAATCAGCCACTGTCCAGGTTTAGATCCTCTTGGCTGTTTGCTCGAGCCAAACAAGTGTTATCCGCGCCCCCACCCTCCCCCTGTTGTGATGCCAGGGGCGCAGGGTTATGGGAGTTAGTCACCTGGCACCAGGGCTCTGCTTTTGCAGGGTTTCCGGGCCTGAATGTTCCCTACTTCAAGCTCTGAGGAAATGCGTGGTCAGGAAGGGTCCAACCTGGGACTTAGTCTGGCCTGAAATATGACACTTAGTATTTCTGGGTTTTTAGATTACATTAACAGTGTCTGCGCTCAGTATCTGTCTCCGGTGAACACGAGCGAATTGAGGATAGGAATAGGGTATATTCAGCTGGGATGATTCCAGCTTCCAAAAGCGGCCAAGCATCCTATGTCGGATCACCCTAAGCTGGGTCCACAAGCCGAGAGGAGAAATTTGCAAACTGCTGGATGAGAATCTGCTGTGGGTGTTTGTGGGCGTTTGTGGTTTTTAAGCACCCTGATCTCCCCGCAGTTCCAGCGCCAACATGGGAACTGGTGTTAGCCAAGGCAATTTAACTTTGCCAAATTACAGTGGACTGAATTTTAAAGCAGATTCATTGTGGATTATGAGATTTTCAAAAACAGCTGATGATTCCTGTGGAACATTCTGTGAAAATGGAGGTTCTGATGAAGGGATTTGTATAAACCATATTTACGTGGCTTTGTATAATGATGCACGCTTGGAAATGTTTCTAACTTTGTTAAACCTCACTTCTGCATCACGGCTTCCTGGATTAAATAAATAAAGAACTGGTAACAGTGGTTAATGCGTGCTGTTGAATTAAACGATGCATTGTCTTAAAGTGCATGGACAGGGATTTTTAACAATTTAAAAATCGCCCCATCCACCACCTGTCTCCTACGAAAACCCAACTATCCATCTCAAAATCAGTGGTCATAGTAGGAAGCCCTTTAAGGGAGCAAAGAAGCATTTCTGTGGCTGCTGATGTGACTCCAAGATGGTGTGTTGCCTCTCTGCTGCTTAGGGTCATGGATGTAACAGAGCAACATTCTTCTGAGGGTGAATAACCAGAGGTAATGATCCCCATTGGAGACAACAGCATAGGTAGGTGCAGAGATAGGCTCTCGCAGTTAGAACTTAGGGAGCTGGGTAGATAATTAACAAACAGGATCTCTGAACTAAACTCAGGATTACACTGTGCCAAAGTGAGTTTAGAAATAGGACAATACGGTTAGGCTGAAAAGTTGGTACAGGAGGGCGTGCTTTACACTCCTGGAACTTGCTCCAGGGAAAGTTGCACCTGAAGTTAAGTTCCTTGTTCCTAAGCACCTAAGTTCCTTGCAGGATATTTTGCTACTGCTTTTGGTGTTGGAGGGGGTGGCGGTGGGTGGGGCCAGAGGCAGCTATCAGCAGGCATTTAGAAATCAAGAGAGAATATTTCAGTGTAATACCCGTGTGCACAAAATACTATAAGATGGTCAGGATTTTTTATTTCTTAACATGGGTTGCATTCTTTTCATTTGTCATCCAATTTTAATTGCCCCCCAACTAGAGTGGCTTGCTAGAGAGCAGTTGAGAGACAACTACATCCCTGGATTGGACACACACATGGGACAGATTAGTCGGTACCAGTCTCATTCTGAGCAAGCGAGCTCTAACTGAGGCTAGTCTGGTCCGTCACCAGACTCCTTTCCCTATTAGTGAAAAAGATATGTTTTTGCAACAGTTGGTGATATTTCAGGACATTGCTACGAAAATAGCTTTGAAATCCAGATTTCTGACTGTCAGCACGCTGGCAAAGTGGCGAGCACTGCTGCCTCATGGTGCCAGGGAACCAGATTCCAGCCACGGGCAACTCCGTGTGGAGTTTGCACATGCTCCCTGTGTCTGCATGGGTTTCCTCCAGGTGCTCCAGTTTCCAAAAATGTGCAGGTTAGGTGGATTAGCCATGGGAAATGCAGGATTACAGGGTTAGGATGGAGGGGTGAGTCTGGATGGGATACTCTTCAGAGAGTTGGTGAGCACTTGATGGGCCAAATGGCCTGCTTCCATACTATAGGGGTCCTGTAATTGTATAAAGGGTTTTGAACCAGTGTTCCCCACAACATTAATCTGCCTTTGAATTACTTTTCCAGTCACATTGCCACTGCATCACTGTCTCTTCCAGGGTGGAACC